CCTTTACTGGTCATACCCCCCCTGGAGGAGATTTACCCGGTTTGGCCAAATGAAGACAGAGATCCAAATGTTGACAAGAAGCTTCACAACATGATCCTAGATATTCTTGATGGAACCCTTAATGAGTCGTTTTGGGGTGAGGATGATTTTGTTCCAGAGCCTAGTACACCATCTGAGGAAAAAGGGAAAAACCAGAAGAGGAAAGGAACTGAGGAGAAGAAGACGAAAAAGAGAGTGAGTAACGAGAGTGAGGCGGATAGCGATGTGGGAAAGAAAGTTAAGAAAGTGAAAAAAAAGGATAAGAGCAGAGAACGTGAAGAAGACAGCGACGGCGAAAACAAGAAAAAGAAGAACAACAAGAAGAAGGCCAAGGAAATGACGGATGAGAGTGCAGAGGAGAGCGAAAGTGAGAGGAAAAAGATCAAGGAGAAGAAGAAGAAAAAGAAGGACATGACTGATGAAAGTGCAGAGGAGAGCGAAGGTGAGATGGAAAAAAGCAAGGAGAAGAAGAAGAAGGCGAAGGAAATGACCGATGAAAGTGGAGAGGAGAACGAAGGTGAGAGGAAAAAGAGCAACATGAAGAAGAAGAAGAACAAGAAGCCGGCAACAGTGGTTGAGGAAGATACCGATATGGATGATGGTGAAGAGGGAGATGCGGATTCCGACACCCTTCTTGCAGAAATCTTGAGGAAAGAGAGAGAGCTGAATAATAAGAAGAAAATGAATGAGAAGAAGCTGGTTATCGTCGAGGACAATGATGTGGAGATGAAACAAATTCTTCTAGCTTTGGCATCTCAAGTGGGAAAAATGGACACCAATCTTACAGCCCGAATGAGTGGATTGGAAGCTAGGATGACTAAGCTCGAGGAGGCTAAGAAGGTGCCGAAAGGGTTGCCAGACTCCAAGCTTTTGATCCTCGTTTAGAGGCTCGATTGGAACATATGCAAACGTGGATGGCGCCCAATGGCGAGATACACGTCATGGGCCAAGTGATGGACAAGGTAAGCCAGCTTGAAACAGAAGTGGGTCGCCTGAAGGAGCTATACGGCAACCAAGGAGGAGGGTATTTGACTCTTGCCGTGCTTGTTGTCTTCGCTGCGATTTCATATTTCTTCAAGTAGAAGAGATATAGTTATGGGAGGTTATGTATGATAACTTATGTACCATATATGGTAGACTTATGTACCATATGTATTTTGTATTCGCTATGGTAGACTTATGTCCCATTAATGGTAGACTTATGTATTCACTATGGTAGACTTATGTACCAGAGTTAATGGTAGACTTATGTACAATTAATGGTAGACTTATGTACCATTACTGGTAGACTTATGTACTATGTATGGTAGACTTATTTACCATTATGTATTTTATATGGTAGACTTATGTATCACGTTGCATAGAACTGCTTACATGATTAAAGTTTCTCAACATGATCATTACACAAATATAGGCTTCGTCAGAAGCTAAGTAAAAGTCTTTCAACTACAACAAATATGTTTATTACATATGGGGTTTATTAAAGTAAAAGAGTGCGAAGTACATTAATTACACTGACCACACACGATCAAGATTGGCATGTCGCACGATTATGTCCGCCTTGGCCACATTTGGAACACTTGTGCTCTTTCCTTGGACGTTTCTTCTACATTGCTATTTCTAAAGCACTTTTCATTCGTGATTTTTTTGGCCTACCAGGTGGTTTACGAACAAAAGGAGGCTTACAGACTTTGTTAGCCACTTCTTCGGGTACAGGTAAAGCGACATCTCTTGGCATTACCGTCCCCGCGTATGCCGACGAAAGGTATGACCTACGGTAGTAAGGGTGGGCTAGACAGATACAGGAAATTTTTTTTGCTTCCGCTGCAGCAAGGGCATGGACGCACGGTATTTTATCGATGTCGAACCGTCGGCAAGTACATGTTTTCCTTTCCAAATTGACAACATGTAAGGATGAGACACCGGTGACCTGTGCAAGATGGTCGTCGATTTCTTGCACTGCTAGTTGCTTTGCTCCTTCGACTCTTTCCTGTACACAAAATATGTAATTAAGTCTATCGTATTAACAAATAAATCTACCAAACTGTAGAATATGTCTACCAAAACTATACCCGTAGCAATTTCTCAACACCAGTAGTAAGCTCGGTCTCCATATCATTTGCAGCTCGGCGCCTTTTGGCAAACCACCTAGTCAAAAGCGATCTAATCTCCTCCAATAGTGTCACAATTGGGTAACTTCTAACCTTTGAAAGGACCTTATTTAAAGACTCCGCTATGTTGCTAGTAGTGAAGTTGTACCTCTGTTCCGGAAAATGAACACGGCTCCACATCCGGACATCCGCTTTTTGTAAGTAGTCATATAGTCCTCGGTTACACCCCTGAATCTGTGCCATTAAGACATTGAAATCTGAAAGCCTATATGTTGTTGCTGCTTTCTTGACAAGGCGAAAAGCTTCCCCACCTTTATATTTGACCAATATATTCTTGTGCAAATGATACGTGCAAATACCACGCGAAGCAAGAGGGTAAATTTTTGTTATAGCTTTCCCAATAGATCTATGTCTATCTGAAATCATGGCAAGTCCTTCATCATCAGGTATAACTCGATGTAGTTGTGCAAAGAACTATTCCCACGATTCATCATTCTCAGTATCAACGATACCGAAAGCAATTGGGAATATATTAAAATTCCCGTCTTGCGTTGTGACAATGAGTAGTGTACCTTTGTATTTACCTGTTAAGAAGGTACCATCAACCACCACTACTTTCCGCATAAATGGAAACTCCTGAATGCTCGCACTAAAGGCAAGGAACATAAACTTGAACTTGTCTTCAGAATCCACTTCGAGCTTGATGAGTGTTCCTGGATTAGCTCGTCTAATCATGTATAAGTAGGATGGAAGGTCCTCGTAACTGTCCTCTGAACTCCCAGTCACTAGTTCGCGTGCATACTTCAATACACGATAAGCTTTCCAATACTCCACCTATACATCATACACGATTAGTCTATCTACCAAACCACTGGCTACAAATCTACCTAACTATTAATAACAAATCTACCAAGAAACAAATCTACCAAACTATTGGAAAAAAATCTACCTAACTATAGAACACAAATCTACCTAACTATTGGAAACAAATCTACCATATGTTAAATAAATCTACCTAACTACACATCAAATCTACCAAACTAAGCTTACAATATGTAACCCTTACCTTGATTCCATATCGTTTGGTTAGCGCATCAGAAACGTGATTTGGGGTAACTGTATTACCTACTCCACCTACAAAATCCTTATAAAGCCGTCCTAATATCTCAGGAGTTGCTTGTCGGGCACGTGAAGAACGCATCATGATATAACAGGTGTGCAAACCGTAGTATGTTTTGACATAGAACTGTCTTCCATCTCCAACCGTCGAAGCTCGAACCCTCCATTTACATCCACCGACCCAACATCTAACCGTCAATAGCGTGGGCGTTGAGTGTCCCACGTCGAAGTCCATTTTATTGGCAACCGCGTAGATCTTCAATCTCGTCTCGAACTCCTCTTTTGTGTCATAACATTGACCTACAGCTAACTCTACGGACTTCATTTCAAGCTCCACAGAATCATCTATTCTGGAGAAACCTCGTTTCTTTGGTGGCAGGTTTTGCATATCTTCTTCTTCTTCTTCATCTTCTGATTTCTTCCCACACAAATCGTAGTCTTCATCACTAGAACTCGCACCATCCGGATCTTCGCAATTGTCGTACCTTTCTTCTTCATCATCGTCATTATCTTCCTCATCTTCTTCAAATTCATCGTCTTCATTCTCTTCATCTACGAATGATTTACATCTTTTGTCGCTCACCTCAACACCATTTGCTATCTTAGATTGAGTCAACGCCTTTTCAGTAATCTCAATGCATAGACGGATCGTCTCGTTTTCAAAGTGACGGAGAAACCCAGCAAATTGTCGAGTATTTCCTACAAATACCGGTGGTGTATCTTTGGGTAGCTTTTGCATGTATTTCTTCGACAACATATAGCTGAATTGCAGGTCAGATCGGCGCTGATCCAATCGAAATTCTTCATAAACAATTTGTAATAAATCCCCAAACCCGATTTCCCGATCAACCGCTACAACTCGACTTCCTTTGCCCTTATCAACCAAGAAAACATACCGACTATTCTGAAATTCCCATTTCCCACAAACTAAAAATATATCCACCATGCAAGAAGAAGACATGATAGAGGATGACAAATACAGGAAAGAAACCCAAAAACAGGTAAAGAGAGACAATCAGCGACGAACTAATGGCGGCGGCTACCCTAGAAGTAGTTGGTTGCGGTGGTTGGAACCCGAAAATTCATTAATAACTGCTGGATAGAAACGTCATTTCAAATCAATAAGTCTACCTTTATGAGATTAAATATGTCTACCAATTTTGTAATATGTCTATCAACATTTCATTATGTCTACCAACATTGAACCTCGCTACTGATTTAAAAGTCTACTATATTATCAAATAAATCTATTTTCCACATATAAGTCTACCATCCCCAAATATATCTATTACATAGTTTCGTATGTCTATCACATATCAATACTCGCTAAGGGAATTTTAAGTCTACTATTAAGACAACAAGTCTACCACCTAGAAAATAAGTCTACCACAAAGAAAATAAGTCTACGTTTTCAAAACAAATCTACCATCGATATTTACATCTACCATGCGTACAACAAATCTATCACGAAAAAACTTTTTATTTTGTAGTAGATTTATTTTTCTTAGAAATAAGTCTATTTTCTTCTCTACTAAGTCTACTATGAAAGTTAATAAGTCTACCGATTTCGGTCAACCACATCTTATGAAGTCAACTCAACAACAATATATCTACCAACTTGAAAATAAATCTACTATACAACAAAACAAGTCTACCAACACATTCAAAAATCTATCAAGAATTTTAAATCTACCTTTCTAGAAAACTAAATCTATCACTATAAGTCTATCAACATCTAAACAAATCTATTTTTCGGAATATTAAGTCTACCAACTTTTATTAAGTCTATCGACATTTTTATAAATCTAGCAAAACATATAAGTCTACCATTCATATTGATAGATTTATTTCTTGGTAGTCCAATTTAACGGCTGATGTGGAAATAATTTAATAATGGTATTTTTGTAAATACGTTTTTTCTCACCAAAGCTTCCTAAGGGTAAAATCGGGTTTTTTTAAAAAGGAAGGTTATCCTGCTAATTTCGAGAATGTAAAGTTATTATACTAATTTCAGCTATTTTAAAGGTCACAATAGCAATCCTCCTTTAATATTATTACTAATTTATGTGGATAGTCCGGAGGTGTAGCTATAATCCGTTGGAACTAATTCATAATTCTATTTTTCCAACAGATATTTTCTTGTAGTCAACTGCATCTCATATATATTTTTTAAACTGATATTTATTTTATGATAACCAAATCAAAATTTCAAAGGGCTTACATACCAGAATTTGGGTTTTGTTTTGGGCCTTACTAGCTTATTGTTTATCTTAACAAAATAAATTAATCAATTCCATATGCCTTCTTTCTTTTTTTCCACCATAGTGTTAATGTCTTATAATTTTTATTTGAAAAGAAAATAGTAATAAACATCGCATATGCCTTTTTGTTAAAGTATTACGTATATGCTCTTATGATTTGAACTTACAATATGCTCTTGAGATATTAATTGTTTGTCAACTGAAAACATTAGTTTATTTTCCAAATGAGTTTCGTATTTTAAAACTCGGAGCATAAAATATATATTGCTATTATCAAATATATTCATATTCCAGCTGAAACCAAGTTGGGACCGTTGGGTGTGTGCACCCACCATTTTAGAAGGCCAAGATTTGATTATCCCAAGCGTTCCAAATCACATCATATTTGATTAAATAGATTCGAATGCTTTGTAATCTTTTTCTTTCTTTTTCTTTTTGTTTTAATTGTAATATTTTTCGTGATAGAAAAAAAAACTTCAAATAGGTGATTTGTGAACCGTTGAGGATTCCATCAAATCAGAATTTGATATCGTTATAAAGACACCCACTTGTAATTCATACTTGAGTTGCAATGACCTCAGACTAATATAATTGAACAATTGTAATGTCCCCCTTCCCCGAAAAATAATTGTAATGCTCTTACCGGTTTTACTTTCGACTCTTTCATTTGTTGGTACGTGGGTTTTTGTTTTATCTAACATTAATGGTTCACTGCTTAAAGGGTAATAGAAAATAAACGATTGTCAATTAAGCATGCAAGCACGTCATGGCATATTAAAACTGTCACATATTTCATAATAACTTTTGACCGTTAGATTATCGCATATATGAATTTTACCATGAACGTACTACCATTTGTCGTAATTTTAAATATTCATTTTTAAAATTAGTGACTGAATGTATGGATTCCATAGCAAGAAGTGACCCCAAGTTTGAATAAGCAGACAAAACTGATGGAATATATGTAAGTGTTTACTTTTTTAAGGGGTCAATATAAGTGTTCTACTCTCGTTTTAAAATTTGCATACACGAGTTAGGGCAACTAAATATCAAAGCTCTAAATCTTATTACGAAATTACAAACTAAACATATTTACATTGTATGGAAACATCAAATGGCATATATATTATTTATATTGGAACTTATACTAAACGTAGTTCTATTAGTCGGAGTTGATTACTAGTCATTATATTATCGCACATTTAGATTTAATAGGTAAATTTATCTTTTCCTGATTTTATTGGAATATTATGATTTTTTGTTAATTCTAAATGCAAACTTTTTCAAACACTTTTGCAACCATGCGGATCTGGGCGTGGTAATGCAAGATTTTCTCTCCAAATTAAATATTTTACACTTGTTTGTGATCTAGAGGAGATATGATCTTGCCGTCTTCAGATTCTTTAAAGGCAGTGGATTTTTATATTACTAACCCAATTTTCTTTTCAAGATTTCATCAACTGTATGTAAATGTAACTGCTGATATATTTTTGTGTGTGGTAAACTGAGATATTCAGTTAATAAGGTTCTTTAAAGATATGGAAGCTCAGACTTAGTGACTAGAGACGCCTCATCACGATAGATAACAAAAAGCATATACTATAGTTTCCTTTTTGGGGTATAGAGCTAAACGAAGAAGACAAAAAATAATGACAACAAAAATAGTAATAACACCGTGGAAGCATTTGCCAAATTAATTTTAAAATACATATTAATACATAGGATATGGCAATATATTAATTAAAAATTTGTTAATGCGTTTATGTATCAAATATCAATATGATCATTGCGTTGGACTGTTATCATCACTAATTATTATAAGTAATCGATAAATTTCTATTTTTCTCATACCCAAAGGGATAATGATTAGTTATCATCGACTCAAATAAAGAAATAAAAGAACTAAAGATCAAAGACTTATATTTTCCCAATGTTTTCTTTCTCCTTGGTTCGGGACTTAATACTCTTGATAAATAATTAAATACTACTGAGCATATGGATCATTTATCATTACCGCATTATCACAGTATTTGCTTTCTTCTGATAGCATTTCTCGCTTGTATTTTCTTCTCACGCAATTGTTATTTTCTAGTTATGTAATTTTCTTCTTTCTGAGAAGGCGTTATGTAGTTGTAATTTGAATTTGATTGACCGTATGATCTTATTTCATAAGGAAACTGAACTCTCTCTATATATATATATATATATATATATATCATGAAACATTATCAAAATTAAATATTCTAATTAAAGTATGGAAATTTGGTTCATAGTTCTGAGGTAAAATATATCCTTTGACCAAACATTTCTTCAAATCTACTATTAAATCATTTACTATACCGAAATCGACAATCAAATAGTTCGAAATTGATTGCTTCTGAACACAGACTGAAAAATGACGAAAAAAAATCTGAATACATGTTCATATTGTAAAAAATACTAGCCAATTGCTTACATTCATCCGATTAGAAAAAAAACTACCCAAAAACAGGGTATAAAGTTTTGCACAAAAACATGAGGAAAAAAAAGAAGAAAATAATGGTATATAAAGCAAACGACATGAAGAAAGAAAAAGCAAATCATATAATGACAAAAGAATCCTACCTTTTTCCAATATACTTATTTTATCTTTTAGAAGTGTATGTGTGGACCGACAATAAGTGGCATTCCATCTTCTTTCTTTCTTTTTTTTTTTGCAGTTTTTAATAATAACTCATGTATTAATAAGAGGGATAGAATAGCATTTCAGGACAAATAGTATTTTCATTATTTATATTTGTAGATTATATATTAAATTAGGTATTGTCTACTGCTTATATTGATTAGTTTATAGATTATTTTATATGATGGTTTTATGTTTGAAGTCAGTTTGTCTTCTAGTTTAATGTATCCACCAAATTAAGAAAATTCCATCCCTGTTTAAGTATTTTTGATTAGTAAGAAAATAATAATATTATGGGCCTATGGGCCAAGAAAGAACTGAGTCAGAAAGACGTAGGAAAGCCGTGGGGGTCATAAGTGGGCCCATATCCACGACCGAAAGTAGTCAAGTATCTTGAAAGGAGCGATACCGTTAGGCTTTGGCAGTTGTTTCCGTTTACCTGTCAATTTACTTTATTTTTATTTCGTTCTTTTTTTTTTCTTCCGAATAAATCTAGATACAATATAATCTCTATAAATTAATACTCGATAAATTAATACATCGATAAACTAATACATTTCGTAAGTCCCAAAATTAGTCTTTTGAACTGATTTTTATATTGATAAATTAATAATTCGATAAATTAATAAAATATTGCAATTCCGACATTATTAATTTATAAAAGTTTTACTGTACCTATATGAGATATATATATACACTGCGAAAGTAAACATAAATTTCAAAGAGATATAAAGTATCAAATATTAAAGAATACAATTCCTCATATCCCATGGTTTTTTACTGTTCATCCTTTTTTTTTGTTAAATATTTTATCTC